ACAACAACAACAACAACAACAACAACAACAACAACAACAACAACAACAACAACAACAACAACAACAGTATCTCACGTCCACTATACAATAACAACAACAACAACAACAACAGCAACAACGTTCACTATACAACAACAACAACAACAACAACAGCAACAGCAACAACGTTCACTATACAACAACAACAGCAACAACAACAACAACAACAACAACAACAACAACAAAAACAACAACAACAACAACAACGTTCACTATACAACAACAACAACAACAACAACAACAACAACAACAACAGCATCTCACGTCCACTATACAATAACAACAACAACAACAACAACAGGAAGTACAACCAACTGTGTGGGTGCGGTGGCGGAGCGGTTAGTGCGCTCGTCTCCTAAGCGGAAAGTCCGGGTTCCAGCCTCGTTATAGACATGGATTTTTTTTTGGGCCCCCTCCTGCCCACTCAGCAGTTATGTGTACCTGACTTCGAGTTGGGAAAGTAAAGGCGGCGTGGAAAGGAACTGGCCACCCTACCACAATATGCCGAAGGCCCAGGAAGTTGTCTCACTAACAAGGCAATCCCCAATGTCCGGATCGGATGCGGGAACAACTTTTTACAATCAACTGTGCCTTTTACTTTATTTTGGTTGAAATAGTTAAAATATCTTCTCAGGTAAGAACATTTACGCATGTTTAGTAAAATAGAGTGCATTTACAGTGAGCAGAGCAAGCCTGATTCCCCGTTTGGTCTTCTCTGTTGACAGGACAGGATGTGAAAGGAGAAAGTTTTGGAGAAGAAAATGTTTCTTCGCTATCCGGATTCGAACCCGGGATCTTTGAATGAGAGGCGAACACCTTAAAACCTCTAGGCCACGAGATCCCCCCGTTTCTTTTTAAGACGCGGAGCTGGCAATACCCACGTCATAGCTCGCGCTGGAGAAAACACATTATAACACAAAGTTGTTGGAACCAAACAAATCAAAGTTAAGGATTTTGAGAAGTGCAGTGATGTCCAGAGAGCAATAAAACTCCCCCCTCTCCCCCTCCTCCCCCCCTCCTCCCCCTAGAAAAAGGAATTAAAGGAATAGAAGACTACAGAGAAGAAACAGGTCTGTACTTCCTATTCTCAAGTTTTGATCACTTGCTTCACCTTCCTCTAAACG